TCTCCTCTGCCGTCGCGCTCGCCGTCGCTGCCGTCGCTGCCGTCGCTGCCGTCGCTGCCGTCGCTGCCGTCGCTGCGCTCGATGCCGTCGCTGCCCTCACTGCCGCCGTCTGTAGCGGGCGAGTTCGCTTCGACCTCGCTCTCCAAATGCGATTCCGACTCGGAAGTAGACGACTCCAGCGACACCGACGGCGAAGTCGACGTCAACGCGGATACCGACGAATCGGAAGACTGCTACGAGGCAGGCACCGCCGACGGCCGTCGAGCCATCGCAAGCGCGGCAATTCGTCCGGGTCCTCCTTCACGGACGTTTCTGTTATCCTACGTACTCCGGCATATGCGCATGGGACGGCTTTTGGCGAACTGCGTATATTTGGCGAGAATGTCCCAACGGTTCAGAATGCGTGAAGAATGTCTTCTAATTTTATCAGCAGTTATGTAACCGTTCTGTAATTAAATTTAAAAATGTCTTGAAATGAATTGCGTGAGGGGAAAATTCTATTTTTACTTTTGAATCGTAATGGTGACGTATTGTTGCGAAAATATTGTCGTGATACGATTGCGCGAGATTGTTGCGAGAATCTTGACAAGTAAAATGTTGCTACTGAATACTGCTACTAATTTGTTTAATGGAACTAAATGTAGCAAAAAGGCGCCAGTACTCGCGAATACCGAGTATTTTATTGACTATTGATGAATTAGAAGAGATCGTAATTGGGAATAATTGTTACTCTGATGAATAAGATCTCAGACTCATGCTTTTTTATAGCAATAGGGAATTTTCGTTTGTTTTTTTTAAACTATTGTGAATGATTTCATTAAAATAATTTTTTGTTTGAATTATTATAGTTCCAGTTATCGATTTTCTCTCGGTATAACACGTCACAATAACATTTCCCTGCAATCAGATTAATAGAGATGTGGATTTTACAATTTGTTTCCGAGAATATTGCAGCGAGCAAAAACGCAGAGTTGATCGACTGGTATCAATATGCTTTCAGTCAGATTAGGCAACGGTTTGCGAATCTTTGCGCCCTTTGGGGAGTGGGAACGAGATTTATAAATGGAACTCATGACAAAAGTACAGAAGGAGATTAACATACAGAAGGAGATTAACGTACAGAAGTAGATTAACGTATAGAAGAATATTAACGTTAAGAATGAGATTAACGTTCAGAAGGAGATTAACGTTCCAGATGGAGATTAACGCTCAGAAGGATATTAATGTTCAGAAAGAGATTAAAATACATGAGAATAAAGTGCAGAAGAATTTTTCTTTATACAAGTTTAAAAACTATTTAAGCCATTTACCAATTTATTACTTTAAGTAATGAAGATATATACATCTTCAACTAATTCCACTGAAATGGATGAAATAATTAAGATTGCATGTGTGTGTATATACTTTATTCGTTTTCTAATAATATTTCACATCGAAGCTTAATTAATTTAAATCTCAAAATAAATATTACTTCTTAACCATCTGCTAATCTACTTCAGTACTGTCTGATTCATTATAATCAACTAGATATCCAGTGAAGTGATATTGGAAATATTCTTTTCAGTGTACTATCGGAGTAAATTATTTTACATTTCCGTACCAATTTTTTTGATTTGAGATGATTTTTTTTTGTGGAGCCGGTACTTCATTTTATGACGTAATGGCGACTTGGCATTTGACGTGGTACTGAATGTGGAGAGATTCGGACTTTTGAACTCATCATTTCAAAACAGTTGTAAAAAGTAATTTCTTTCTTTTCATCGCATCGCTGTTCGTCGCAATACCTTTGGAAACTGATTAGTTTGATCAATTGTTTATTGAAAAACAAGCCTTGGTGAGAGAATATTTCGGCTGGAAACTGACATGTTATTTCCGTTCTCTTAATTTTAATCACATGTATTAACTGCTTCCAAATACAAGTATAGTTTCAAACACTAAGCGTTAGAATTTCAGTTTTTAGCATTTAGAAATTAATACGGTTAAATATATACCACTACGTTCTATCATTTCGACTATTATCACGCAGGTAATAGACATTGACAATTTATATCCTATAAAGGGTAAATTCACTACTTCGACTTTTGGAAAATACAATCATAACTTTACAACTTTTTATTTCACCAGTGAGTGGAATATTAATATATTGTATAATTTTTAATAATTTAATGCTTTACATTTTAATTGTCTCGCTTATTGTCGGATCACAAAAAAGTAAAAGTCAGCACATTTTTCTTAAAATAAATTATTTATTTAAAATTTATTGTAGCAAGATGTTTCATTTACATATTGTCAATTCTATCAGAGAGGCATGTTGCTAATTTCATTGTCTCAATGTAAAAAATTAGAATAGATATTCGAGAGTGTTGCCTCTTTGAAGAGATTGCTGTGATGCGTAATTATGCGATGAAAATGTGTAATGCTACTGATGTTTCTCTGCTGATATTTTTGGAGGCAGTTTGTGACATAGTAAAAAATAACGCAATGGACATATTAGTGCTTTAGCTCGTACATACTATCTTAATTGCTTGTCAACGAGTTGCAATAAATAAGTTTGTTGACGATTTTTATACTGCACGATTATTTAAATATTTAGATTTACTGAAACTAAATTATAATTTGCAGAAAAATTAGAATTAGAGGAGTTGTTTGCGCCATTTGAGAATCTAATGAAGAGTAGATGACAGCACGTTGTCTTCTTAGCTGTCTTTTATAATTAAACCTGTGAGGAGTTCCATTCTGATGCCATTAGCAAATTCAGTTTAAATATCATTATACATATTGTATTTAAGTAAATTCACACCAGACGCTTGTTTACTTGTTTGAATATAAGATTTTAGCAACTTTATAAGCTACAACTTCAAAATTATTATAGTCAGACTGCAACTTTTATATTGATGTGAATGATTGTTGCGGATAATTTTATTCCATTTTTTTGTTACTGATTCACCAAGCATTTTTTCATAAACAACTTGAAACGCCATGATCCCCTTTTTTGGGAAGCTGGATTACTCACAACTCTCTGTTATGGGAATATTGAGTCGTTTGCCATTTGCTGTTGTGATAACAAAATTATACCTAATGAAACGTCAGTATCTAATGTTTTACTACCTACAAGTGTGCTTCATTCCGAAACCAAACCCACGAACCTTCATATTCCAGGGAATGGTAGCAATTATATCCATAATTTCATGCCTAGACTACAGATCACTTCCGCTCTGAATATCTCGATCATTACAAGTACCTAGATTGCATTACCAAGCATTGTTTCCCTAAATGCTTGTATTGAATAATGTATGTATAGTGTGGTTTATCAAATTAATTAACAAAATTCGGATATATAAACCAGTACATTGGGAATTTTTCTATTTTTTTATTTAAACTCATACTTTATTTACATTTCACACGTTTTAAATCATCCCAACTTACGTTCTTGTTATAAGGAAGCATAAATTTATTTAAAATATCCGTTGCTCCACTAAGCGTTCCGGATACATTTCTCCAAATTCTTTTCTTTCTTTTTTCCCGATGTTTCTTTTCAATTAATGGACTGATATATTTTCTCACACTTACTGCATCTAAAATATGATTAATTTTAATTAATCATATATCTTACACTTCTGGTAAAGTGCATACTTTCTAAAGTATTGTGGCATTTTCAGAATGTGAAGGAAGATGGACAGCACTTATGGCGCTTGAAGCACTTCAGCAAACCGGCCTACTGCAATCTGTGTTTGAACATGCTAGTTGGTCTGGGAAAGAAGGGTCTCTGCTGCGTATGTAAGTACCATTAAGTCCTTTCTGCACTTTCTCCTTCGAATGGTTTGAAATCAAAGATTCATATTTATCAAGTTCGTAGTTACACGTTTGTTGTGTGAGAAAAAAGATATACTAAAATTCTTGTTTATAGTCAATATATTTATTATTAAAAATTAAAGTTATCCTATCAACAGTCATTTTTAATATATAAAATCGCTTATAGAAAACAGCTTTATTCTACCTCGTTTAATCAATCTGAAAAAGAATATTTTCTAATCCATGGCTTTCTATTACTCCAATTTTACTTGTTTGCTTTAATGAATCATGAAAGATTAGATACCTCGGCAGAAACGCAATAAAGAAGTGTAAATTACATTTCAAAATCAACTCTATATTTAAAATGCAGCACTTCATGACTAATGAATACACTCGTATTGTCGGAATGAGAAACACCACAAATGAATTATGGTATAAATCGTAAAATGATCGTATTTAACATGTTTGCCAACAGCGTTTACGCTAATGCCAAGTGAAAAAAAATATACGATCGTCGTGTCTTCGTTATAAATTGCATAACATTATTCAGTAACGCACGACGTTAGTAACGTTGTTCGAAAATGTAAGCATTTCTTCTTCTTCTTCTTCTTCACTACACAGATTAGGCTCATGACCTGTTCCGTTTTCACAAAGCATTCACTTCCATCTTTTCCTCGGTCTGCCTATATTTCTTGTACCACGAAGATGATAGTTATAAACGTTTTTGGGTATTCTTGTATTTTCCATTCTTCCTATGTGTTCCTTCCATCTCTCTCTGTATTGCTCTATTTTCCCATTTATAGCTTCTATTTTCAATTCCTGTCTAATGTCATCGTTTTTTATCCTGTCAGATCTAGTACATCCTTTCACTCTTCTTAAAACTCTCATTCCTGCAGCCTGTATTCTGCTATCGTTCTTTTTAGTTGTTACCCAACTTTCACTTCCATATAGAAGCATTGGTATGGCCATCATCGTATAAAGTTTATTCTTGTATCTTCTCTAGTTTTTTGGCCTAATGTTCTAGTTATTGTGCCGCATATATATTGAAATTTTGGATCTTATTTTCTATACCATTATCTCGTTCGTAACTAACATCATAACTGAGATAATTGAAGTGTGAAATATGTCCTACAATTCCATTTTCTATTACAATTTTTGATCTCACAGGGTGTTTCCCATAAAATGTCATAACTTTTGTCTTGTTTATTGCAATTTTAAAATTATATTTCTTGTATACATGGTTTAGTTTATGTACCGCTCTTCGAAGTTTATTTTCATCTTTCTTGAGGATTATAGCGCCATCAGCGAACAACAAAACGTTTAGGTGGGTATATATATCTAATTGGATTCCAGGGTAAACTTCTGGTTTCCATTCTCTTATTATATATATATATA